TTAATAATAACCAAGAAACTATTGCCAACATAGAGTTTAATAACTCTGACAGTGATACTAAATGCCAAAAGTAACTGATATTAATCCAAATTTGAATGATATTTATGAAATAACAGAAAATACATGTAATGAAACGGATACAGAATCTCAAACTTATGATAATACTTTAATTGCCTCTATACTATCTTTACCACATAGTATCTCTACGAATTCTACTAATTAAAGTATAATTTCAACTAATCAAAAGTACAACTTCAACTATTACAATGAAAAGGGAAAAAAATCAACATGCAATGAAAAACAAACCAAAGAGGATACCCTAGCCATGGCGAAAAAAATTGTTCGCGTCATGTGATATTTGTGTATGTCCGGAAAAATTCTACGGCAACAGAAGTTATTGTTAAAGATTAATTTAAAGGTTATGGTTAGGGTTAGACCTGAGATCAAGGTTATATATAAATTGCCTTCCCGACATTTTTTATTAGTCTACCAAGATAACGTTAGCGTTAGGCATCTATTTCCCGTAATTTTTCTCTTTTAATTTTCTTGTGTCGGATTTGTTTGCCGGGCTGATAAAAAATTTACGCATTTTTACTGGTTTATGTCACCAGCAGATCAAAAATTTACGCATTCTTATTGGTTACCACGTGACCCGAACATTTTTTTCGCCATGGATAGGGTACTTAACCAAAGACCAGTTATGTCATCACTTGCTGTCGTCGTAATTTGTGTTCGAGAATCGATTTTGAGTTGAGAATCAATTCTCAAATTGAAAATTGATTAATCGACATTATTAATCGAGTTTAGAATCGACTATGGGTTGAGAATCTCTACCCTCAGGTAATGTTATTGAATAAGTCTGTTATATATCTATTTATCATTTCTGACTAGAGCAGGAAATTTTTTAAATTGATCCAATTTCATGAAGATATTTGAACAGGTTCAGTTATAAAATTTACATATTCAAATTTTATTAAAATCACAAAAAATAGTGGAATCGATATCTCGTGATCTACATGTTCAATTCAGACAAAAAAATATACCATTCGATTCGTCTAGTCTTGGCGAATCGAATGGTGTATTTTTTGTCTGGATTAGATTAGTGAATCGTGAAATATCCCAGTTATCAGATAATTTTTTATTTTCCAATTTAATAACAAATCTGTGGTTTTCCGGAACTAAAAAACCGGATTTGTATTATGTAATATATGTCACGGACCTTACTGAAACAATAATTCGATAAATAAAGGTTTATAAAGAGTTTAACACTATCGGTATAGAATATTCGATGCATGTAATTGATGTTTCATTGGGGTATTCGGTGGACAATGTAGATCAAATTTATGTACGATCAAAATGATTAGACCAAATTTTCGTGTAATTAATTATTACGTAGTTTTTTTTAAAAAAAAGCTCTCTATTAGATTAAAATATATTATTTGTTAAATATCTGGGCAAAATTTATAAACAAGTTAATATGTAAATTATTGAGGATATATAATTTGAAATATGACAATTTTTCATAGTCTTTTTATATAAAATTACCATATCGATATTTCAAATTGTATCTCCTCAATAATTTACATATTGACTTGTTTAGAAATTTTGCTCGACTATTTAATAGATTCAATATTTAAAGTAATAGAGAGTTTTTTAAAAAACTATAAAAAGAATTTATTAATTCCTCCCAAGTTCTGATTGATTGAGGATATTAACGGTTAATTTTAGCGTTAGGATTAAGGGTTAGGGTTAGGACTGGAGAAAATAGTATATGTAAATTTGTCTCCCCAACATTTTTTATTAGTGCTTCAAGCCAGGTTTAAGCATTCGTTTTCCGTAGAAGATCCCCCCGGTGTGCAATCAACCAATCAGCGATGGAAATTACATGTATAATGATAACTTTACTATCGCTGTCGCTACGTATACATTCATTTAATCAGATCTGACATTTGTTTGTAAAAATTTCAACCTTAATATTCAAAATGAATTTATTGCCAAAGTAGAATACATTTTTATTTAGTTTTGAATTTGCATAAGTTGTGGGCGACAATATTTCATTACAGATTCTAATGTTACATATCCCTCTAAGTCTCTATTTATTTGCCACCCCAATAAAACAGAGTTAAATAGATTCGATTGTACTAACTAGTTTTTTGCGTTGATATCTTCGGTATCATACAGTCACTGGCGACAGCAATGGCAGTGAGATTGTTATATCGATTTTACAACAATATTAACATTTTTTTATAGAAGCAAGATATAGAATTAATAATGCTAGATTTTTCTAACAAAATACATGTAATAACAAATAAAAATGTGATGAATTTGCGAAATTCTAATAGAGCACGGCAAGTCTTTTCCCGATTTCAGGTTTTTAAAATTTTCAAACCTTATTTTCTCGATAATCGGTGATCAGATTTTTGTAATTTTGGTCTTATTATATTCGCCTCAATAAAACGAACATTCTGGTAGTAATTTTATTTTAATCAGAATAATATTTATCGAATTAATGCGAATTTTAGTTTTTTTTTTTTTAAGTTAAAAATGTTCAAGTTACAAAATTTTTAGAACATTAAATTATATTCGAACTTGTATTGACACGGGCATAATGCCCCACTCAGAGGCACTTTCAAAATATTTTTTATTATACAATTAAATGAAATATAATAAAAAACTGACCGCCATTACTTTCGCCGGGACTGTATTACTTTGACCATTCTCCGATTGATTTTTCAATTGGATTACATGCAAGTTTTTCAGATGACATGTTGTGTACAGTCCTAATAATATGTAATATGTATAATAACATGAAGTTCTGTATGGAAAGGCAGTGATACTATGAGAAGTCACTGATTTCCTGTTATTTAATAGGCAGCTTAGAAGCTGAAACTCATCTACACAGTTCTATCGATATTTAGCATGACTATGAGTTATTATATCATTCAAAATGGTAAAAGAACAAAAACGATTATACACAACTGCTGCGTATAAGATGCAACTCTTCTACCTATAAATACACAAATTCTACAAGGTATAATCATTCAAACACTTTTCAAATTCGTCATGAAAAATATTGCTTTAATAATTATTGTAATTTTCATCAATTTCGCTTTTGTTACGGCATCCCTGAATTGGGAAAGAGACGAATTACTTAGTTTGAGGAATCGTTATGTTAACAAAATAAACACCGGAAACTCGACTTTGAAAGCAAGGGCTTATTCTAGTTCCCAGTGCAAAATAGACGGAGATCACCTATGTCCAGATAACTCGGGATGTTGTGCCAAAGACGAAGAGTGCGTACCAGACGGATCCAATTACACATGTAGCGGTGTCTGTGACGCCACCTCTGTAGATTGCGGAGACGGTTATTGCTGTAGGGAGGGTGAAGTTTGCGTCAAAAATGGTTGTAAACCAAAATCATCATCAACAAAAACATCATCATCATCAGTGGCAACAAAGACCTCTTCGATAGTATCTAGCTCAGCCATAAACAGACCAGCCGTCTCAATGATGATAATCCTAGTTGTTCTATTTTCTCTAAATTTAGTATAATATTTATATTTTCAAATTGTTACTACTATTTAATATATTATTATCCACGAGTATTTTAAATAATTTTTTTGGTTCGAGTTCTCATGTTTTTATTAAATAAATCTAAAACTTGATTTGTAACCTTCGAATATATTGGTTATAGTGACAGATTGTTCTGATAATTGTCACGATACCTGTTCATGACAGATGAGTAAGTATTACGTATCATATTCATAAAAACTGCTAAATTTTTACGGGTACCTGACACTGAAGTTTATAAAATACATTTACCCTGTGAATTTATGATTATAGCTTTTATGAAGACATGACAAGACTCTAAATATAAATGTTTGCATTGGATTAAGCCATAATTCGGATTAAATCATGTGACTAATTTAATTCGACGTGATTTATGATTGATGTATATATACCTGATTTTATGTAACTGCACACAGTACATACATGTGTATTACACAGTAACCCGCAAAAGTATCCAACCATCTCCAACTTTTCATATGTTGTGTATAACACCCGAAGATATTCCGAACACAAAGAACAACACAAATATCGATCATCTATGTCTTTCATAAATTGGTAGAGCTTATATATCAATATTAACATTCTCACAAACTTCCACAACACAAATACAATCAGTCATTTCTTAACACATATCTCAATATACAATAGTCTTATTCTTAACGTTCAGTGATCCAATTTGAGCGAAAACACTACCATTTGATTCGTCTCGACTAGCTGAATCAAAGGGTAGTACTTCCGATAAATTCGGTTCATTGGAAGCTCTCTATAAAAGACAGTGTTTGTGTTGTTCTTTGTGTTCGGAATATTATACACGATATATGGAAAGTTAGAGGTGGTTGGATACTTTTGCAGGTTACTGTATTGTATACAATATACGTACATGTTGTTGAAACCTCCAAAAATTTGATTCCAAATCTCTTCAGATTCCTGTGTTAAAACCATCGTCTGAAAAATTGTTCAAGATTAACAAGTAAAATTACCTCATTGATATATCTATCACGCCAAGATATCCTTCGGTGAGTTTAATTTACTGATTTCAATTTGGAATCACAAAGTTCTGTTGATTTTTGAATAACAATATTATTTATCAGAACAAACTACTTTATAAATATTTAAAACCACATTTTTTACTAATCCAATGCTTGTCAAATTTTATTAGTTCAATTGTCCCCTATAGTCATAACTATATTATATTAAATATTATTGTATTATTCAATAAAATATATAAATATGAATTATTATTATTAAAAGCAGCTTACATAAAATCAAATTAAAAGCATTTTTTATTCATTTAACTACTGTAATTTTCTGACTGAGTAAATACTTCTTGTAAGGGAGGTTGATATCCAGATAGAAAGAATGGCTTTTCTAAAACGTGTCAAGGAATTCCATATCTTTACTAATTCTCGATAAATTTCATATTTTTTTCATCAGTAGGCTTTTGTGCTTTCATGAAAATCTGTTATTTTACTTTGAACATTTTCATTATCCAATTTTCTTTTTTTTGAACTTAAATTAGTTTGATTATCATGTTCTGCAAGAATAGTTAAAGATTCTTGACGCGTTTCAGGTTGATCTTAGAACGGTTATTTGCATAATGATTTGTTATTTCCATTTGTGAACCTTTCGCCCAGTACATGGCAGTTAGTTTCATAATGACCTTTTGAAACTTCTGCACCTTTCCTTGCATGATTCATATTTGTGATGGAGGATGTCCTTATTTTTATGTTTGGGTGGAGAATATTCTTGCTGTTTTATTTAGAATTAGAAGAATATTCTAAATTAACTGTAATTGTTAGATCAACAATTTTGGAGATATAGAGATTGGAAAGGAAAGTTAAAAATAGCTAGAATTTTGTGGCTCAGAATTAATGGTGAGGACGATAAAGTTTATAATCAAAGTGGTTTAATTATATTTGTTATTTTTGTTAGGTAAAAGAATATAAGATAAAATCAAGAATTTCGCTGCTTTAAGTTTTAAACTAATTTTACTGCACTATTCATTCCCACTCCGATTCATGCAACACGTACATATGTACATGTACATAAATGCTACTGTTGCCTATTCGAGAGAATCAGAAATTACGTAGTTTTGCAAATTTCGGAATTTCGCCTGACTATGTATTTTGTTTTCGCCCGAAACATTACAAAAGTATCCCCGCACCAATAATTTTTGATAGATCATCTGTAGGTCCCTGAAATTTTATATGCATACAGTACATCACAAACGCTGATCATTGATATCTTGATTGATAGATTCTATATCGATATCGGGTATCGGTATTGTAAACTTTCGCATTCCAAATACATGTATAATCAGTCATTTCATAACACACATCCCAATATCCAATAATTTAATTCTTGACATCCAGTGATCCGATTTGAACAAAATACTACTGTTCGATTCGTCTCGACTAGACGAATCGAATAGTAGTATTTTTTGTTCAAATCAGATAACTGGATGTCGAAATATTGCATCTTAAAGTAGCAGATTCATATAACAAAAATGAATCGATCAATTTAGGACGTGATATCTCGATCTTCCGTAATCTGAGTCAAATAAAAATAATACCATTCAATTCGTCATGACTAGACGAATCAAACGGTATTATTTTTGTTCGAATAGGATTACTGAAGATCGAGATACATGTATATACATGTATTACGTTTTTCTAACGAACAATTGATTGGCAAATTATGAATCACTTTAGTATGCAATATTTCGACATCCAGTGATCCAATTTGAGCGAAAATACCATGATTTGATTTGTCTAGATTAGACAAATCGAATGGTAATATTTCAGCTCAAGTCGGATCACTGGATGTTGAGATATTATGTCCTAAAGTGACCGATTTATCGTATTTGGAGTATGAAAGTTTATGAACATGCAATACCTGATATAGAATCTATCAATCAATAAAAAGGTATCAATGATCAGTGTTTGTGATGTACATGTACTATGCAATAAAATTTCAAGGACCTACACATGATCAATCAAAAATTATCGGTGCGGGGATACTTTTGTCGGGCACTGTAAGTAGTGTTGCGTTCCCTTCGATGTTTAGCAGAAGGGGTTTATTTCGTGACGGTTGAGGCGGGGGCACCAGATTGTTATGTTTTAATAATCGATTGGTCAAGGGACTTTTCGCAACGAAGGTTGAGAGCTAGATTGAATTATTTACGGGTAAAGAGTCTCTTTGATTGTTCTAAAGGTTTTCCGTGGCGACTTGTACACAAATCGATCTTTTTGCAATAATAGGGATGTTTAAAAGAGGAAATTATTACAGTGGCGATCATAAATAATGCAACAAAAAATTACAATCCGTTAAATCGAAATATTTCGCGTAACTTGGGAAATATCCTTTTTTTTATGGTTTTTATTCGTTAATAGTGTCATTTTTAGATATCAAAAATTAAACATGG